TCAGGACAGCATGAGGGAGCAGCTTCATGCAGATCTCAGCAACTGTCTCAGCTCGTGCGCTCCGGTTCACATTTGAAGGAGGCCGCTCTGGCGTCGGTTCCTGAGGTTTTGGCCTCACAGTGGGCGTCAACAAGATGCTGCAGATTTCCTCAGCCACCTGTTCCAGGCAGCAGACTTGCGTCATTTTCAAGGAGCCTGGGCAGTTCTTTCAGGGGGCTGCTTGAGAGACTGTGGAAGTGTGTGCCCTGTCACATTAAGCTGCGACGTCCGCAGTCTCCCTGTTGTGAGAGGGATCTGCCCACTGCAAGGCGTCATAGACCAGTGGCACAACAGCCCCGCTTGTCCTGCCTTTGCTGCAGGCACAACCTGTGTGGCTCTGCAGCTGAACCGTTTCTGCACTGAGGGACGCGTAGTGAGAAAGCTCCACGTGGCAGTGTCGCTTCCCCTTCGTGTTCACCTCCCATGTTGGGTAGAAGGTTCCCTGAGCCGTAGAGAGTACAGACTTAGTGCCGCTATAGTTCACCTTGGTAGCACTCCGCGTGGTGGCCACTACCGGGCGCTCTTGGTAGAAGACTCTGGCCGCATGTGGTGGACAGATGATGGTGATGTTGCCAGGCCCCCCATAGCTAGAGGGCAGACCGGTCGCTTGTGCCCGCTTTAGGCTGGTCAGTTGTGCCCGCCTTACGCGGGTCACTTGTGCCCGCGTACGTGCCTCAAATCACAGCAGGGCCGCACTTTGGGCCACCTCCCGCCAAAACGCAGACCTGTCACTTGTGCCCACCTTTCGGTCTTAAAATATGGCAGGGCCACAGGATGAGGTGTTTGTCGGTTGAAAAGTCGCGTCCCTGCCACATCCGGCAGGCTCTCTGCCCCTGCCACCTGTCACCCCATTCAAGTGGACGCAGTTTTCTCAGGTTGCCCGTTTCATTTTCCCGACAGGGGTGGGCTGGCTCCAACATCATGAGCATCGCTATCAAAACATGTACTCATCAATGTCACCCTATATTATATGAGACCCCCAGAGACCTAAGCTTGGAAGCCTGAATCGAGACCAACTTAAGTAACCTGAAACCGCAGAGCTCTTAATCCCTAAAGTCCCAAGGCCTCCAGCCCCGAATTCCAAGACCTTACAGGCCCATGCTGTTAAACCCGAAAGCCCAAAACCTCCCCAAGCTCTTTACAAACCTCACCCCTGAAGCCCAAACCCTAAGCTGCCTAAACCCTAAACCCTCAAGCTTAGAACCCTGAACCCTGAAACCCAAACCCCGAAACCCGAACCCTGAACCCTAGAAGCAACTGACCTGAGGCCTTGCGTGGAAGGCCCTGCTTGGGTCAGATGTTTGTAAACTGAGTGTGCAGGGCGTATCGGTCGACAACAGCCGTCTTTTTATGACAACAACCACCCCTGAAGCCTGAAGCCTGAACCCAAAACTGCGGCTGACCGTGCAGGGCGCATTGGTCAACAACAGTCGTTTTTTATGCCCCTCGAAACCCGAACCCTGAACCCAGAAGGAACTGACCCGAGGCCTTGTGTGGAAAGCTTCCCTCGGGTCAGATGCCTGTAAACACCCAGCCCCCCCTTCCCCCTCCACCCCCTCCCAAGCACTCCGGCTGACCGTGCAGGGCGCATCGGGCAACAACAGTCGTTTTTTTGCCCCTCCAAACCCGAACCCTGGACCCAGAAACAACTGACCTGAGGCCTTGCGTGGAAGGCCCCCCTAGGGTCAGATGTCGACGCCCAGCCCGCCCAAGCCCCCCCTCCCCCCCTTCCCCCTCCACCCCCTCCCAAGCACTGCGGCTGACCGTGCAGGGCTCCCCCTGCGGCTGACCGTGCAGGGCGCGTTGGTCAACAACAGTCGTTTTTGCCCCTCGAAACCCCCCCCCATCCCCTCCCCTCACCCGTTTCCAGGGCGGGTGACTGGGTGTGGTGTGTGGCGTCAAACAAGCTTATTCTTATCCCCCCCCCCTTCCCCCTCCCCCCGTTGCAGGGCGGGTGACTGGATGCGGTTGTGTTGAGCGCGTCAAACAAGCTTATTCTTGTCCCCCCCCTCCACCCCCCTCCCCCCTCCCTCACCCGTTAGGACTGGATGTGGTTGACTGGATGTGGTTGTGTTGCCCCCCCTCCCCCCTCCCCTCACCCGTTTCCAGGGCGGGTGACTGGGTGTGGTGTGTGGCGTCAAACAAGCTTATTCTTCCCCCCCCCCCCCCCCCCCCTCCCCCCGTTGCAGGGCGGGTGACTGGATGCGGTTGTGTTGAGCGCGTCAAACAAGCTTATTCTTGTCCCCCCCCTCCACCCCCCTCCCCCCTCCCTCACCCGTTAGGACTGGATGTGGTTGACTGGATGTGGTTGTGTTGCCCCCCCTCCCCCCTCCCCTCACCCGTTTCCAGGGCGGGTGACTGGGTGTGGTGTGTGGCATGAAACAAGGTTATTCTTATCCCCCCCCCCCCCCTCCCAGGGGGCGGTGACTGGATGCGGTTTGTTGAGCGCGTCAAACAGCTCCCCCCCCCCCCCTCCCCCCCCCTCCCCCTCCTCACCCGTTGGGACTGGATGTGGTTGATGGATGTGGTTGTGTTGCCCCCCCTCCGCCCCTCCCCTCACCCGTCAAACAAGCTTATTCTTATCCCCCCCCCCTCCCCTCCCCCCCGCCCGTTGCAGGGCGGGTGACTGGATGTTATTCTTGTCCCCCCCCTCCCCTCCCCCCCCCTCCTCCTCACCCGTTGGGACTGGATGTGGTTGACTGGATGTGGTTGTGTTGACCGCCTCAAACAAGCTTATTCTTATCCCCCCCCCTCCCCACCCCCCCACCCCCCCAGAAACGTGGGCACAAGTGACGGGGTACGTGGGCACAAGTGACGGGGTACGTGGGCACAAGTGACGGGGTACGTGGGCGCAAGTGACCCGAAACCGCGTGGGCACAAGTGACCGCGATCGCGTGGGCACAAGTGACGGGGCTGCCTGAAGAGATGCTGATACTTTGCTTAGGAATGCTTACGTTCTGTTCTTCCGTCCGGTACAGTAGCATAGTCTTTTCAGTTTTGGTGCGTTTCGCCTCTGCAAACAGTTTGGCTTAGTGCATCATGCGCTCTTAGGAGCGACTAAGTAGGACGGGTGACAATAAGTCACGCAGCCCAGCTGCCGCACGAAACCGTGTGCCCTTCGCTAAGCGGACGACCCTCTGCTGCGAGCTGAAGTGAAGTGAACAGACCGAAGCGTCTACGTGGGGGATGGGAGCGATTGAGGGCGTCATTTATGGCTTGACACTACCGTTTTCACGAGCAGATCCTGTCTGGATTATGATGATGGTGATTTTCGCGAATGGCTTGATGCTGGGATTACTGGCAGCTACATGTTTCTTCTTTATGTCTTCAAAAGTCAATGGGCATCATGATTCGGGACATGACCATTTCAACCGCGCAACTGAACTGGTCAATGGACAACATATGCAGAAGCAGATGGCTGGAGAACCTTCAGTCACGACTGCGAGTGAGTCAGACGATCCTCGACCTGATGGAAATGAAGTCAGGAGAAGAGGACCACCGCGCTATGTGAGTGAGAAGGGTGACGTTGTGCTGGATGGAGCCAATGAGAATCTGTGTGCAGAACACTGCTTTTGGACGTGTGGTGCATGTGCAAACATGTTTTTGCCACTGGAAGAGTTTTGAACCCAACACGTTTGTTTTCTGAGTGCGAGGCAGCCTAACGTTGCTTACTGTCTGCGTAGAAGATGCAGAGCTCAAGTGAAGAACAGCTGTGAAGTTAGGTTAGGCTCAGCAAGTCGCATGAGACACGTTTGTGCTTGGAGCGAAAGTGCTGTGCGGGTCAGCTAGTGCTGTGTGCTGTTTGTGTTTTTCTACAGTGTGTGTGGCAAGGTCGAGGTTCAGACTAATTCCGAACTTCAGCCCGCTAAATTCAAAATGCTGTAAATGACAGGTCTGACCCATCCACGGTCTGTTAACCGCCGCAAAAACTGAGATTGGAAGAGATGCGCCGCAATCTGTCCAAGCATGCGCGGATGCACTTGTGGCCTCCGTTCACCAGCTCCACAACTTGACCATTGTGAGAACCCCAATCAGGTGCTCGGCAACAGCTGATGCGCTTTGGAGCACAAGTCGTTCCTACACAGCAAATATCTTCGCTGTTCAAAGCCGAAGCCATTAAAAGTTGGTCTTAAGACACCTCTTTAGCAAAATTTTTCCTTTTTTCTGCTTAAGTGGTGTTGAGACACCTTTTTGGCTTTGGAACTTCTTGACTCTTACATCTCAACTTCGAATTTTTTTATTGAAACCAAAAGAGTGTCCAACTTACTTCTTTCTGCAAATAGAAAAGCCACTTATCGTGAAGCTGTTTTGGAAGGAAGGCAAAGAAATCAATCAAAAGTTTCCGTGAGTGTGATGTTAAAGTTGAGTTTGTTCAAAATGTGGTTTTGTGGTTTCTACGTGGATGCAGATCTTTGGGCAAAAGCGGGAAGTTTCGGATCTTGGAAATCGTTTTTGTGGCTTGGAAAAACTGTCTGGAAGTCCAGCTTGTGCTTGGAATCAATTCATTCAGCTGGGAACTGGGAAATCTTGTTGTTTTTTTTGGCAGCTTACTAGTTTTTGAAGCTTGAGTCTTTTCAGCTTTTTGTGGTTTCAGCTTGCTTGGTTTTTTGATTTAACTTATGCTTGGAAAATTTCTAAGTTGTGTGGCTTTCGAGTGTGCAAGTTTGCTCAGTGGGTCTGTAAGGTGTGTGGGTTGGAGACACAAGTGCAGCAAAGTTCAATTCAAAAAAAAGTAAAGTCTATGTGCAAGAGTCTCTCCCCCGCTCCCTCAATTTCAACGTTTGAAGATTCATTGTCTGAAGAAGCCGCCTGGAGAACCCGTTTTCGAGGTTTCCGACTTTAGTTTTCCCGCGCAAGTCTGGACCCTCACAGTTCGAACAAGTGTGGTTTCGAATGGGCTTTTTGGAATGAGGTTTGTGGACTCTGGGGACTGGGCGTGAGGAGGAACGTCGAGGTTACATCTAAGATGCCTGGCATCCACCAAACAGCATGACTGGGCTTAGTTTCCACACGCAACAAGCCTCGCCTTGCGTTTGATGAAGCCAGTTCCCTTTGCGCACCTCGCTAGGCGGCAAACGGTGCACAGCTTCTTCTATGACCCCGATCTCTTTCTGGATTGACACTTCACTGTGCTTTTCCGCCTCTCGCGGGTCGACAGTATGAACCATCTGCAGTGGCTCAGTTAAACCACTGAGCAGCTGTTCAATGTCCGGAGTGTACACTGGCTCGGACTTGCAAAGACGTAGGTCCAGGTCGTCAGACCGGAGTGCACACAGTTGCTGGCCACTTTGGGGGTCTGGAAGCCACAGCTCCCAGTGCACAGGCTGTTCTGGCCAGGACTCCTCCTCGACCTGCGTTGTTTAACTTCTTCGATCATTGTTGTCAATTAATTGCACGCAGTGAAAGCTTCTAGGGTGACATGTGCAGTGCACATCTGTTGGAGATGCATCTTGTCCACAAGCGGGGAAAATTGGACCTCTATTTCAGGTCACGAAAGCGACGGCAAAAAGTGGACCCTCTTTGTGACAATTACAGAGGGGAGTCGGTTTTGGGTGTCGTTTTGGGGACCCAATTTTGGGATCCATTTCGGGCTTAATTTGGGTCCGGGTTTGCCGCGTTTTTCTGGCCTTTTTGTCGATTCAATGCGACCAGCTCCAACAGTCCTGCTGAGAAGAATTTATGCTCAGGCCTTGCTGGTTTTGTATCATTCATAAGTGCTGCGGGGTTTCTTGCTCAGTACTGTGAGGGTACAGACTGACGAAGGTAAATTGGGGCCAGAAAACGAATTACAAACCGGGGTTCACTTGAAACAAGCATTTTTGAAAGAGTTAGACGACGTCTCTTGGTCGAAAACTAACAGTAGATCGAGACGAATTCAACCGTGCTGTTGATAGCTGACGGTTGAGTGCGACGTTAAGGGGTTTTTTGTGAGGAATCGTGCGCTTTCTTCCAAAATGTGAATAAGTGCGAGCGTAGCGAGCGATAAGATATTTTGAAGATAAACCCCTTTTTCTGTGCTCGAAATCAAAAATTCTTGAACTTTTTCAAATTTCTGGATGAATGTTGAAAAAATTGGAAATTCTTATCGCCGGGCGTGACCTCTCGGGTGGTAACCTTTCAGGGAATAGGGTTGGCCCTAAAGAAACCCTATTCCCTAAAAGGTTACCCGAGAGGTCACGGCCTTCTTACCCAAAAGAGCAACTTCGAAAACAGACACAAAGGCAAGAAACGAAAAGCTTCTTCCAGCTTTTTTTGCACTCTGGCTCACCTCAAATTCAGCCCAGGTTTAAACCTAGGTCAAGCTAGAAAAGCCTGGAACCCCAGACCAAACTAAAACTTCGAACCAGTGTAAAGTTGGCCAACTCGGTTCCAAGATTGAATCGCTGGAATAATGACACATTTGCACGTTGGTATGAAGGTTGATTGGAGAATTAACTTCACAATTTCAGCCAAATGCAGCTCATTTTAGTCTAGCGTGTGGTGTGCTTTGTTAGTTTCTTATCTTGCACATGCACAAAACCACCAGTCAAGGCATGTGCATGTGATGGTTAAAGTTGAGTGCTTTGAAGTCTTAATTCCCTTTTGTGGTGGGTTTGATGAATGGGCGTGTGTGTGTGTGTGTGTGTGTGTGTGTGTGTGTGTGTGTGTGTGTGTGTGTGTGTGTGTGTGTGTGTGTGTGTGTGTGTGTGTGTGTGTGTGTGGGTGTGTGTGTGGGAGTTTGTTGGCTTGATGTGGTTGCTGTTTTCGCCTTTGCTTCTCACGCGGATCGGCCACAGGCTGGCCCCTGGATTGCTGAAGCAGAAAGGGGCTCACTCTTTCTTGTGTGGTATGCTGTGGTGTGTGGATGCAGATTTTGTGTGCAAAGTGGAAAGTGCGTGTTTCGGGTCTTGGAAACCGTTTTTGTGGCTTGGAAAAAATTGCCTGGAAGTCTCAGCTTGGCTTGGAATCAACTCACTCAGCTTGGAACTGGAAATCTTGTCTGAATAAGCTTTTTTTGGCTTGAAAAACAGCTTACTAGTTTTTGGAGCTTGGATCTTTTCAGCTTTTTGTGGATTCTCAGCTTGCTTGGTTTTGTGGCTCAACTCATGCTTGGAAGATCTCTGAGTTGTGTGGCTTTCGAGTGCGCAAGTTTGCTCAGTGTGTCTGTGAGGTGTGTGGGTTGGAGACCTACAAGTAGCAGCAAAGTTCAATTCAAAAAATTGTGAAGTTCAATTTTTTGGGCACTTGCTTCTTCTATGTGCAATAGTTTCACTCTCGCTCCTTGTCGGTGGGCATGTGTGTCTCAGGATCGTGCTACCTGTCCGTCGTGTCGCGTCCCGCGTGCTGGCTGTGGGGATGAGCTCCTTCGGGCTTCGGGGGTGCCAGGTGGAAGGAACCTCCCTGCTTTGGAACGGTTTTGGATTTTAATTGGCGTTGCGTTCCTGATGTTTGTAGCTTGTAGAAGGGCATCCCTCCCGACACTGCTCCCATCCCAAACAGGCCTCTAGCAGCTTCAGGCAAACTTGAGCCTGTCCAGTCCCCCAACTAGCTGCAAGCCAGAAGCAGGCAGGCTTCAAGCGAGCGGGCGCTTGTTGTTCATGTAAATAAACTACATCAGGTTCAGAAACCGTAGTGAATCCAATAAGCAAGTGACGAGGAAAGATTTCACGAGGCTTGTCAAACAAGTTGCATCGTCAAACCTGCACCAGCGGCTCCAGCATGTCCACTGGTCGGAGGAGGAAGGCAGTAGGTGCAGTTATGCCCAGATTTCAAGAGTTTATCGTTCAAGCCACGCGTTCCGCGGATGGCTTGCTCGCAGCGTGGAAGACACACTGCGCTTCTTCCATGCCTCCTCCCAGCCTCAAGTGTCTCTAGGATCTCCCACTGCTGAAGGGAGTGCCCATGTGTGTCCAAAGAAGTGCACTCCCAAAGCAGTTGGTGTTGTCGCCAAAAGTTGGGCCCATCGTACTGTTTTGGATAATTTGGCACTTCCAGCAGAAGTTTTTCGTCTACGGTGAAAGGCTGGTCCTAAGCACAGTGCCCAATTAGTGCAAGCCGTAAGGTGACATGCCAGTTCAGTACGAAGTTTGTTGAAGCCTTCTTTCCGAGGCTTGCTGAGGCTTCCAGAAGCTTGGTTTGATGGCTGTGAGGCATGGCTGCTCAACGGCTCAAGCTGTGCCAAGGTTGCCTCGAGTTTCGTTGCGTTCTGAGAGATGACGCCGATGCTGTTGATGTGGCTGGCCTGCTTCCTGGCCCCTGCAGATTGCGCAGGCTTTCTACGGAACACGCTTAGTGGCCGCTGCCTCGATGTGGACGGCCTTCCAGGCAAAGATAACCATGCCAACCTGCAGTTGTGGAATTGCGAGTGCGGCCAGTCGGAAACGGACCAACTGTGGCGGCTGGATTCGAACGGCTTCCTCATCAACATGCTGAGCAACAAGTGTGTGGATGTCGACGGGCTTCCGGGCATATGGCACGGATCAACAGTGGTCCCTTACGCCTGGCGGACAGCTGAAGAACATGCGGAGCGGGAAGTGCATCGACATTGACGGCTTACCTGGCTTCAACAATGGAGCAAATGCCCAGCTCTGGACTTGCGAGGATGCGTCGTCCAGCTCTTCAACTGACCAGAAGTGGGAGCTGATCGAAGCAGATGACTGCATCCCAACAGACACGCAGCACTGTGGTCAGCCGTCAGACTGGACATGTGATTGGCCGTGTACAAAGTGCTGGAGAAGTGACGGTTTTGACTGCGACAGTGACGGCGACTGCCCCACTGGGTTCCAGTGCGGCAATGCCAATTGCGATTGGAGTTCAGGCTGGATCATAGAAACCAGGGATGATTGCTGCCTTCCACCGCCACCACTTGAATGCGGTTGCAATGCGAACGGTTGTTGGCCCCACGTCGGTTTCGATTGTGATTCTGACAGCGATTGCCTCAGCAACCCTGACATGGCCAAGTTGGGAGCGACAAAGTGCGGCAATGCAAACTGCCCGTGGACCAGCGGTGTTCTTCAGGACCAAGATGATTGCTGCATCATCACAGCATGTACGGGTGAAAACTTCGACCATCCATCGGAGACACTTTGGGTCGACCAGGCTCCAGATGCTGTGAATGTGGTCGCCGACCTTGACTTCGCAGACGTGAAGGTTACCCGGCTGGCCTTGCTTTCGGCGCCCACGGACAGCTTTGGGGATTTCCTCGGCTTGAACAACGAAGATGAAGTCTTCTTGAAGGCGGAATGTGACGGGTCTCTTTCGGTTGAATCCAGGCAGCACGACTTCAAGCAGTGCGACCAACACACGAACATCTTGCACATCCGATGTCTTGTCAGCGACAGCATGGGGGACCTCAAGCTGACTGTCCGAGAGGATGACACCTCAAATGACGAGGAAAACATGCAGGTCCTGGACGCAAGTATGCTGCTGCCTCTCCCTTTGGGCTCGACGGTACGAGTCCGCTTCTACCTGGACAACGAGCAGAACATCTTCGACTCGGCCCTCCTCTTTACCGCCGGCATGGGCCTCTTCGAGTTGTGCATCAGTGACTTAGTAGTGCAATGTAGTGCAGTAGGTCACCTTTAACCTTTTTTCGGGTATTCTTTGTTGTATTCTCTTCCCCGTATCATCCCAAGAAGTCAACCTACTTTAGCTCCGCAAGGATGCTGGACAACTAAGGTGACGTCTTGATGGTCATCCCGGGAGCGGGCCAGATGGCCGGTGCTGCCGTGAAGGCCGCTAAGGCCGCGCGCCTCAGCGCCAAGGCGGTGCGCCGGATGAGCAAGGTGGCGAAGCAAGTCCGGCGGACCGAGAAGTTCATCAAGCGCATGGGGAAGAAATACGACGCCATCAAGTTCAAGATCGACAAGGCTCAGGAGCAGCTGGATGAGGCTGCGGGGCGGGTGGGTGAGGACGACGCCTTCGACCCTGTTGACATCCCAGAGTGGCCGACCTTGGAAACGGCGATGGACGCGTTTAACATCGAGCCTTGTGTGGACGTTGCAGATGGTGTCGTGTTCAAATGGACCGTCTACGAAGCAGAAATCGTCGTTGATGACACCCAAGACGAGCTTCCTCCGAGTGTGAGATTGAGTGGGTCTGAGCACCAGCACACGCACACTGGAAAGCAGTCATGTGACCAGTGGATCACAGGGGAGTGGGGCGCCTGCAGTGCCGAATGCGGGGATGGCACACGCTCTCGACCAGTGACATGCGATGGGACTGCGTGCGCTGACGAGCAGAAGCCGCCAAGGCATGTCCACTGCAACATGGGAGACTGCCAATGGGCCCCTAGCCCTTGGAGTGCGTGCAGTAAACCATGTGCGAATGGCACGCGGGCTCGCTCTTATAGCTGCCCTGTGTTCGGTGCCTGTGCTGGCTCGCCGCCGTCCACAGAAGGGGAGGCCTGCAACGTAGAGCCTTGCGAATGGGTCGAGGACCGGAGTCCATGCAGCCAACCATGTGGGAATGGCACGCGGACTCGATCTTATCGCTGCCCGGTAGCTGGTGAATGCCCCGGTTCACAGCCGTCCACAGAGGCAGAGGCTTGCAACTTGCAGCCTTGTGAATGGTTCCGTGGGGAGTGGAGTGGCTGCAGCGAAGGCTGCGCAGGGGGCACCCGCTCTCGGACCGTTTCTTGTCCGGTGCCCAGTGCGTGCCCGGGCGCGCTGCCTTCTAGCAGCCTGGAATGCGCCGTCCACTCGTGCCCCGATAAATGCGCTGAGGTGGGAGTTTGCGAAAACAAGAGACCCCAATTTTTAGACCCCCAAAAAGTAGGATTCTCTTACGTAAATACAAGGACCCCAACAAGGTGCCCCCCAATTTTTTTTGAAACCCCGAGGTGAGCCATGCCACCTGGAATCCAACATCGAGCCAGTGTGAGTGTACAGGATTCTCGGCCAGCGGGGCCGGGTCTTTGCGGTGGTCTGAGGCCTCCAGTGGGTTTGTCGGCCGGTGCCTGCAAAAAGAGGATGCAGCTCTGGAGGCCCAGGCCTCGGAAACTTCCTTTCTTGTGCCTCTGATCCTGGCCCTGTGCTTCGCCACACTCGGAGGTGTACGGACATGACGAGGTAGCCCTAGGCCGGCGTCCGGCGCCTGGGAGTTTGTGCCGGATAATTCGATGCACGCGCGCGAGCGCGGGCTTGTCAGACATCAGTTGGCCCAAGCATCCTAAGAAGTCTGCCTTCAGGAACAAAGTACTCCCAATAAGCTCTGTGCGGATTTCACGGGGCTCTGAAGTCTGAGAACGCGTGCGGCGAGGGCGAGACCAGCATGGGTACAATACGCTGCTGGGTGTCCCTCGCTAGAAGGGAACTGAGACCGAGCCAGGCTCGGCTCTCACGGGTCCTCCCTGATTGATTTTGCTTTTTCACGGCTCTGATCTCTAGATGAGAACGGGTGCGGCGAGGGCCAGACCAGCATGGTTACAACACGCTGCTGGGTGACCCCTCCCTTAGACGGGAACTGGGACCGGGCCAACAAGGCTCGGCTCTTACAGGTCCTCCTTCGTTGATTTTGCTCAAGTTTTTTGTCGTTTCGAAGGCCATCTCCGTCACCCCTTGCTTTGCAACTTCTCATCGGCAGGGGGGGTGAGCTTGCCGAAGCGCACCCTGCTTGTCGTAACTCGAACAGAGGTTGGGAATCAGAATGCGAAAACAGATCCAATGCTTCATGTTGCATTTTCATCACGATAATATGGCAAGAGGGTGAGGGATACGGTGTTATCGATTGAGTGGGTTCAGCCTCAGTGCTGAACCCTGGGAGTGCCGAAGCCATCCTTTCTTTCGGGTATGAAAGAGCTCAAGCGCTCCAAGCCCCCTAGCTTTGAAAAGCCTCAAATCCAGAAGACACCCTTGCAAACCCTCAACCCTTAGCCCTAAACCCTATACCGTAGACCCCAAATCCCAAACGCCAAACCTCGAACACCTTCACTGCCTTGAGTCTGCAGTAGCCTCCGTGCACCCTCCGTGCACTGTCGAAGGCCTCGCGGGCCCTGGACGCTTCGACGCCATGGTGGTCCCCGGTTTGCTTGAGACGATGTCCGCCAGAGGCGGCGGGTTTAGTGGCTTAGGGGTTGGCAGTTCAGGGTACCCCAAGCAAGGGACCCGATTCAGAGGACTGAACTAAAGGGCTCCTTTTCGTGTTACTTGGGGTGGTTAGGCGGTTGGGCTTTAGGGTTTAGGGTAGCCAGGCTGGGTCAGAGCGGATGCACACACCTTAATCCGTGAAACTCCGAAACTAACCGTGAAAGCACAAAGGCTTGAATTTTGAGAATACCCTGCACACCCTAAACCCTAAACCCCAGACCCTACACCCTAGACCCGAAACCCTTAACCCTAGACCCTAAACCCTAAACCCTAAGCCCTAAACCCGAAACCTCAGGCCTTAAACCCAGGATCCGCAACCTTGCAGGAGCCGCCCGCAAGTCGAAAAAGGACTGGGCCTCACCCTTCGAGTACATCGTGGAGAAGATGGGTGCCGAGAACCTGAGGATGACCCAGGGCCGTCTCCTGGCGGTCGCTTGGTTTCGGGTTTAGGGTTTAGGGTTCAGGGTTCAGGGTTCAGGGTTTAGGGTTTAGGGTTTAGGGTTTGGGGTTTAGGGTTTGGGGTTTAGGGACGGCGGCGGGTTACAAGCCCGAACGCTGTGGTAGGGTCCTGTTCAGAGATCCGATAAATCAGCCCTCGTACAACCACATCCATGCATACATACATACATGCACACATACATACATACATACAGACATAATTTCACCGCTATCGCCAGGCCGCTCGGCAAGGGTACCAAGGCGAGTTCAGGGCTCACCAGGGGCCGGGGCGGGGTCCTGGACCCGGATTTAAACGCTTCAGACCTCCGGTTTGACGGAAAACGAATCTATAGGCTTCTGGGGGCGAAGAGTCTAGGGGCGAAACCCGAAACCCTAAACCCTAAACTCTAAACCCTCAACCCTAAACCCTAAACCCTGACCCCGAATCTCGTGCGAAGCTCTGGAACCCTAAACCCCCTGATCCCCCAAGCAGCCTCACCTCGACCCTGACCAGTTGCCAGCCTCAGTCCCTTGAGCTGGGTTTGGGGTTTAGGGTTTAGGGTTTAGGGTTTAGGGTTTAGGGTTTAGGGTTTAGGGTTTAGGGTTTAGGGTTTAGGGAGGCGGTGTGGCTTTTGTCTTTAGGTTTCAGGAGAGTAAACCCCAAAAGCCCCAACCTCAATCTTTAAAAACCTTGAACCTAAGACCCTAGACCCTAAACCCTAAACCCTAAACCCTAAACCCTAAACCCTAAACCCGCCGAGCCACGCAGAAAGGCTCTGGTGTGGGCGCTGGTGCTGGGCTCGACTGTTTACCGCCGCTTCGACCTGGGCCGCTTGCGTTGGGTGTCCTGGCTGCCGGGGCGATCTAAGTTATGGTCGCTTCTTCATAGTAATAGTAATAATAATCGTAACAGTAATTAAAAGTAATGGTAAGAGTACTAGCAACAGTAATAGTAATAATAATCGCAAAACCATAATAATAGTAGTAATAAGGTTGCAGTGATCTAACTTCTGGTGGCCCTGAAGTGTCCATTATTTAGGAGCGCCCGCTTTTCAGGTTCCAGTTCAGTGGTTAGGGTGTTTTGGGCATCCGAAAAAGCGAGCATAACGGAGAGAACCAGCCACGTGGGGTGTCATCGGCTCAAAGACGCGTGCCGTTCGGAAAGCGCTCGCTGCAAGGTGTGGGTGTAGGCCTTTTCCCTTTTTCGGGCGATGAACGCCTCCAAAACGCCGAGAACCTTCCCAGAAGTTTTGAGCTTCTAGTACTGGAAGAACCCTAAACCCTAGACCCTAAACCCAAAAAAAAAAACCCTGAACCCTAAACCCTAAGCCCTAAACCCTACACCCTAAACCCTAAACCCTAAACCTTCTAGGTGCTGATGCTTCATCACCTGTTGGCCGCAGCTGGCTTGGACGAGGTTGGCCCGGGAATTCGTGCCTGGGCCATTTCGTGGTTCAGGTCTTGCGCGTTATTGCTTGGTTCGGTCGCTAGTTTTGCGCCTCGGGAAGACAGGAACCCTGAACCCTAAACCCTAAACCCTGAACCCTAAGCCCTAAGCCCTAAACCCAAAACCCTTAACCCAAAACCCAAAACCCTAAACCCGAAACCCTAAAACCCTAAACCCTAAACCTTAAATGACCACACGGGCCAACACAGCAGGGCAAGCTTTGGCAAGTTGAGGGTCTGGTGCCGAAAATGACAACTTGGGATGTTCCCCCTTATGCTGGCAGTCCATGATGGGGATGATAAAGGGGGTTTAGGGTTTAGGGTTTAGTGTTTAGGGTTCAGGGTTCAGGGTGTAGGTACTATGATCCCTATGAAGGAAAGGGGAACATCCCAAATTACAACCATCATGGCCTGCCCTCCGCAAGCCATAGCCAGCAACAACCACCTGCGTTTCACATGCCATCATACCCCAACACTGTTCCGAGCTGAACCAAAGCCAAAACCGAGCCTTTGCGATCCGCAGTGCCTGTCCGTCAAAAGGCAAGCCTACCAAGCAACATGCAACTGGAGGGGAGGGGTAGGGGCGGGCACCGAACAAATCCTAACTCAGTGCCGCGCCCTTGTCCTCTCTCCGAAAGACGACCAGCTCAACCACAAACTCGGGGGATTGATCTTGTAGGGTTTCAAGTTCGTGCGTTTCTGGAGGGCGTTCGCTATAGTTTTGCATATTCGCAGAGGTTATGGTGCAGATTTTCTCCTGTAGCTGGCTTGAAACTTCGGATCTTCAGTCGCGTGAGCTTGAGGGCTCTTCGGCTCTGCGCTTTTGGGAGAGGAGGAAAAACCCTGGAAACCCTGGGGATTCTCTAGGCCCAAATAGGAGGTTCCCGCACGAAATCCCCAAGCTCCAAACTCTAAAACCCTAAACCCTAAACCCTAAACCCTAGACCCTCTGGTCATGGCAGGCCCTGCTGATGTCCTTCTCCGCGCAGGAGCCCTTCTTCCTGCGGCTGCTCCACCCAGGTGCCAGTTGAGGGTTTAGGGGTTCAGGCCTCTGGTGGTTGGTTTGAGGTTTAGGGTTCAGGGTTAGGGTTTGGGGTTTAGGGTTTAGGGTTTCGGGTTTAGGGTTTAGGGTTTCGGGTTTCGGGATTATGGGTTGAAGCATCTGATGCTTGGGGTTGGTGATGTGGGGTCAAATCCTGATACCGTAAATCCTCAACCTCAAACCCTCAACCCACACCTGAAATCCTTGAGCCAAAATCCCCGTCCCTTCTTCACCCAAGCTTTCCACACTTGTGTGCGCCTTACGTATCATTTGTCGGTTCTGAGAAGCTAGGATCCTAATGTTCGTGAACGAGACTTCGCCGTTGCCCTCAATTGAAGGAATCCCGTGGTAGATCTTCCTCACATGACAGCCTTGTTCTGATTAGGGCTACTTCGGCTGCATTAGGGTTATTGGCATGAGGGTGAGGGTTCTTCGGGATTTCAGGGGCGTTCGGGTTCCGAGGATTTGTCAGGGGTTCTTCGGGTTCTTCGGGTTCTTCGCAAACCCTAAACCCTAAACTCTAAACCCTAAACCCTAAACCCCGAAACCCTAAACTCTAGACCCCGCGTTATTTGGGCTCCTCTAGTGTAGCATTCAAGTTTTTGTGGAAGGTGCCGTGGTGACGCCTTGGGCGCCTTCCTTTCTGCCCAACAAGCAGAGCGCACCTCGGTGCGTTTGGGCGGTCGGGGCTTATAGGGATTATGGGGCTCTCTTGGAGTGCTTAGGGCTCTCTTGGGGTTCTTAGGGTTCTTAGGATTCTTGAGGCTCTTAGGGGTCTTAGGGCTCTTAGGGCTCTTGGGGCTCTCTTGGGGTTCTTAGGGCGTGCAGTCATCCTGAAGTTAAGATAGACTCCCGATCCTGTTGAGAAGTTGAACTGGAATCCCGCCTGGCTACTTTCGGGTCTCCATACTATAAGTGCTCTTGTTCTCATTCATGCTATAAGTGCTCTTGTTCTCATTGTTGGATTCACTCCTAAGCGCCAGGTCTTGGGGGCTCTTACCTATGCCTCTTTCCTTTTGCTGGCCATCTACCAGCTGGTCGCATACCGAGTCGGTGACGAGGATGTTTGGCAGACCGTGACAGTGACACTCTGGGCGCAGTACAGTCAGTGACCTTAAGCCCCTAAGTAGACTCTCAACCCCAAGGACCCTAAGTCCTCAACCCCCAAAGACCCTAAACCCTAAACCCTAAACCCTAAACCCCAAACCCAAACCCTAAACCCTCAACCCTCAACCCTAGACCCCCAAATCGCAACAGGATGTTGCCATCTTCACCGCGCTCTTTCTGCTTGCCTGCGTCTTTGATGCTTGGGCCGAAACCCTCAGCCCTGAATTCCCTAAACCCTAAACCCTAAACCCTAAACCCTAAACCCTAAACCCTAAACCCCCTAAACCCTGAATTGTCTTGAATTTCCTCCAAACTTGCACCTGCCATCCTGGAGTTTGCGGAAGGTTTGAGGATTAGGGTACCACTTCAGGTGGAGCATGTCCCTGTAGCATTGAAGAGCCTATACAGCCTATACAGCCCTAAATTCTAAACCCCACACCCTAAGCCTCACACCCTAAACCCGAAGAAGATCCGAAGCACTCAAGCTACCTAAGCTCGAAATTCGCTGAAGACCCTAACCCTGAAGCCACAAACCCCAAACCCCAAAATCCTCAAGCCCTTTACCCTGCACCCCAAACCCCAAAACCCGAAGTGCTCAACAGCGTCGTTGGGAAACTCTTGGTCAACCCCCTACTAACTCATTCTAGGGAGTTACTTGGAGGTTCATGGGTACGTATAAGTAGGGTTATAAGTAGGGTAAGTCTGGTTATAACCTTCTTAAGGGTACTTATAACCCTACTTGTAAGTACCCGTGAACCCCAAGTAGGGATTTTCAAAACTTGGGAGTTTTTTGGGTTTGGGGTTTTTGGGAGATTCGGGTTCCGCAGAGTCCCCCAGAAAGGCGAAGGCAGATCCAATCCCCTACGGTCAGCCCTAAGCCCGAATCCCTAAACCCTTAAACCCCTAAACCCTCTTTAGGGTATGAAGCCTAATCCCAAGCCGGAAACCCATAAAGGGTTTAGGGTTCAGGGACCCTGAAGCCCTAAGCCCGAAACCCCTCAAGAGGGTTGGGGTTTAGGAGCCCCTTGAAGCCCCAAACCCTAAACCTTCATACCCTAAACCCTAAACCCTAAACCTCAAACCCTAAACCCTAAACCCTAAACCCTAAACCCTAAACCCTAAACCCTAAGCCCGAAATTCCTTGATTCCGAAGCCCTCCAGCTGAGGACCGAGGCCTCTTCCACTCCACTCGGCCCTCCGACATCCTCAAGTTCTTGGCCGCCACCTTGCTCCAGGAGCCCCCGGGTGCCTTCAAGACCCGAGTAGACATAGGGTTTAGGGGTTTAGGGTTGGGGGTTTAGGGTTTAGGGTTTAGGGGTTTAGGGTTTAGGGTTTAGGGTTTTGGGGGGCTTTGGGGTTTGGGGCGTTGGGGGTTTGAGGGTTTGGAGCATTGGGGTTTCAGGGTTTGGGAAAAACAGGATTTACAGTTTATGGCTTTAGGGTTCTTGTGGAGATCAGGGTCTCCAAAAACTGGGGCAGTTGAGGGTTTAGGCTTCTTCGGGTGTAGGGTCGTCTGTTGGTTTCAGGCTCTTTATGGGGTTCGGCTGGGGCCTTGGGCACCTCAAAGACAAGGGCCCCCAAGCCTTAAACCCAAAACCCTTAAGCCCCCAAAGCCTAAGCCCTTAAACCCTTAAACCCTTAAACCCTAAAACCCTAAACCCTAAACCCTAAACCCTAAACCCTAAACCCTAAACCCTAAACCCTAAACCCTAAACCCTAAACCCTAAACCCTAAACCCTGAACCCTGAACCCTTAAGGCCCTAGACCCCAGACCCTGACGAAATCTCGGGGTTTGGGGCTCCGGTCTCTGTGCTTATCCCTAAGCAGCTCGAGCCCGAAGCCCTCAGCGCCCTAAGCTGTCGAAGTCCTCAGACCCTAAACCCTAAACCCTAAACCCTAAATCCTAAACCCTAAACCCTAAACCCAACTCTGAACCCGGGAGCCCTAAAAACCAAACCCCCGAGCCCAGGGTTTAGGGACCTTGAGGGTTTAGGGCTTAGGGTTAAAGGTTCACCCCAGAGCCGAGGGTTTAGGACCTTTAGGGTTTAGGGTTTATGGTTTATGGTTTCAGGGTTTTGGGTCAAAGATCCCTAAACGCTCTGATTCCAGCCAGGAGCCTGAATTGAACGTCTACACATTGTTGGCGTGTCTGCGCCTTTGCAGAAGCCATGTCCCTTTTGGGGGGTTTCCGAAATCAGGGGTACCGTATGGGGGGTCCTTATGACAAAGGAACCCTACTAGTTGGGGCTATATTCAGGGGTCCCTTCTTGTCGTGGACCCCCATATGGAGAGGGGACCGGGGTCTGGGGTTTGGGGCTTAGGGTTGAGCTCTATGACAGGTTTGTTCAGGCAAGCTCTTTTTGGGGGCTCTAGGGGGGGCCCTGAAGTCCCGAAATCCTCAGCTTCGAGGTATTTCTGGTCTGGCCTCTACAAGCTCCGTGGCTTCTTCCATGGCTTCATGTTCCAGTATCAGTTCCTCAACTTCTCGGCCATCTCTTGGTACCTGCGGCGCCTGTACCTTTCGGAGGATGTGGGTTTGGGGCCTTGCCTTTGCTGGTTCATGGGTATGGTTGCTCATCAGCGGGGATAGACGTGTCCTCCATAAAGGTTACATGACCCATTCTAAAGCTACCCTCACTCACAGCCCAAACCCTAAACCCTAAACCTTAAACCAGGAGGGGTTCAGGGTTTCGGGGCCTTTAACGCTGGCTTAGGGTTGCGAGAGAGCGGGGTCCAAGGCCCAGCATACCAAGGACCCTTTAAGGTTTAGGGTTTGGGTTTAGGGTTTGAGGTTTGGGGTTTCGGGTTTTGGGTTTGGGGTTCAGGGGTTTAGGGGTTTTTGGGGTTGCGTGGTTAGGGTTTAAGGTTCTAGGGTTCTAGGGTTCTGGGTTTTAGGGCTTGGGGTTTAGGATGGCAGGACTACCTCCCACGCCGCGCCTTCTGCGCCTTTGGGGCAGCTCCCCTGCAAGGATCCGGTCTTCTGGCAACCGCACTGGATCATAGCAGGGGGGAGATAGTGCGGGAAGGAGGCACCTTACATCCCCCGTTCACACTCCTGAGCCCAAACTCAGAACCACAAGCTCGATGGAGCCCTGAGCCTTAAACCCTCTAGGCCCAACAGCCTAGCTCCCCCCCCAAAACTTGAACCCTACCAAAACCCCTCAAACCCTCAATCGACAGAAGGCAGCTGGAACCTGGATCGAGATGTTGGCCGGACTAGGCGCCTGGTCTGTGCAGAGGTCTTGGAAAGGTTGAGGGTTTTCTGGCGGGTTCTTAGTAGGGAATGGGGGAATGAGGTACGTACCCTATACAATCCCTTAACTTCTAAAGGGTATACTTAGGGGCCCTAATTTCCTAAACCCTAAACCCTAAACCCTAAACCCTAAACCCTAAACCCTAAACCCTAAACCCTAAACCCTAAACCCTAAACCCTAAACCCTAAACCCTAATTTCCTAATACTAAGAACAAGGTGCTTTTTTTGGGATTTGGGTTTCTGCCAACCCTCCCACTTGCAACCCCGAAGCCCGCAACCCGAAGTCCCCCCAAAAAGCCCTCAGCAATCTACCCCCTTAAAGAGCCCTACAAACCCTAAAAGAGCCCTAGTGAAACCCTAAAAGCCTCTAAGCCCGAAATACAAACCCCTTAAAGAGATTTCAACTTGTCTAGAGAAGAACATCTTGGGAGTTTAGTAAGGGACCCCAAATATTGTGCCCCAAAGAGGTCGGATTGCCTTACAATAAGGACCCCAATAAGCCCCCCCCCGTCCCCCATTTCAGAAACCCCGGAGGTACCCATCCCTAAACCCTAAACCCTAAACCGTAAAGCCTAAACCCTAAGCCCTAAACCCTGAACCCTAAACCCGAAACCCTAAACCTTAAACCCCCATTTGTCAGGGATGGTCCTGGGAGCGCTCCCGGGATCGGCGGAGGGCTTCGTGCTGCTGGCCCTGGCCATGCACGTCTTCATCTTCTTCTTCGGGATGCTCTGGGCTGATTAGGGTTTAGGGTTTTAGGGTTTAGGGTTTAGGGCTATTCAGGGTTTAGGATTTAGGGTTTCGTGATGCTCTGGGGCTGATGTCAAGGAACTTCGCTTCGTTTGGGATTAGTAGGGTTTAGGGTTTAGGGTTTAGGGTCTAGGGATTGGGGCTGATGTCAAGGAACCTCACTTCAGTTAGTGTAGGGTTTCGGGTTTGGGGTTTGGGGTTATTAGGGTTTAGGGTCTAGGGTTTGGGGTTATGAGGATGTAGGGTTTAGGGCTTAGGGCTATTTAGGGTATACGGGTTATACGGCTGCACAGTAACTCAAGCCCAGGGGTGTTTGGGGGTGCAGGGTCGAGGAGCTCAGATGCAGTTGCCATGTCATGGGCCTACGCAGCAACTCCTGCGGTTGTATTTCTGGCTCGCTTGCCAGAATGTGGATATGCGGTAGTTGCTCGAAAGACCTGCCCCCCCCCGGCCCAAAATAATGACCACGAGGCTCCATTTTTTGCAAGAATTCCCCTTTTTAAGGGGGTCTTGGTTCCATGTTAAAGGACTTTGCAACCCCCCTAAGCCCTCAACCCCTAAACTCCTCAACCGCTAAACCCCTAAACCCCTATACCCTAAACCTCTAAACTTGGGATGTTCCCCTTATACTAGTAGTTCTTACTAGAGATTCTAATAAGGGGGTACTATAATCCTTGTTTAGAGGACTGTTAGTAGATGGGGGAACATCCCAACCCTAAACCCCAAACCTAAGCCCCAAAACCCAAAACCCTAAACCCCAAGCCCCAAACCCTCTCAACCATGTGGCAGCTTGATGAACCCAGGATGGGACCCTACCGCTGGAATGTGATGACCATGCACCTTGGTTTTAGGGTTTAGGGTTTAGGGCTAGTTCTTTTGAGGGGGATTGAAGCTGCAGTTTCTTTGTTTGATTCGGGTTTAGGGTTTAGGGTTTAGGGTTTAGGGTTTAGGATTTAGGATTTAGCTCATACGGCTCCTTTTTGGGGGGGTTCAAGGGCTGGTTGCCTTAGGATGTTTGTAGGAGTTGAGGGCCTGACGCCTTGCAACTGCGACTACAGTTCAGGTCTAAGCCGCTGCGCCGTAAACCCCAAACCCTTAAAACCCGAACGCCCAACCCCACAACCACAAACCCCAAACCCTAAACCCAAACCCCTAAGCCCAAAGCCCTGAAACCCTCAACCCTGAACCCTAAACCCTGAAAACCCTAAACCCTAAACCCTAAGCCCTGAAACCCTAAACCCTAAACCAGGTACATGCTGGTCTGCTCCACGAAGCTCTGCCGAGAGCGGGGCCTCTCTGGCCGGTCCCTGTGGAGTGACCCTGCCAGCTCCGGACCCCCAGTTGCGGTTTAGGGTTTAGGATTTAGGATTTAGGGTTTAGGGTTTAGGGTTTAGGGTTTAGGATTTAGGGTTTAGGGTTTAGGGTTTAGGGTGGGGCTTCCCAAGTTAGGGGGTTTGGGATTTATGGTTTTGGGTTTGGGTTTAGGGCGTAGGGTTTTTGGGTTTGGGTTTAGGGCGTGGTTTAGGGTTTAGGGTTTAGGGTTTGGGGCGTAGGGTTTTAGGGTTCAGGGTTTATCGACATTAAGGTTTAGGGTTTCGGGTTTCAGGTTAGGGGTTTAGGGTTTCGGGTTTCAGGTTAGGGTTTCGGGTTTCAGGTTTGGGGTTGCGGGGTTTAGGGAGTCAGGCGTTTCCGACAATTTGGGGGTTCCCTTTTGGGTCCTTTCAAGAAAGTTTTACTAGTACGACTTGGGGGGTAGGAGCATCATCAAGAATCAAGAAGCCAGATGACATACTCCAAACCCCAAACCCTACCTAAACCCTAAACCCAAAACCCAAAACCCAAAACCCTAAACCCTAAACCCTAAGCCCTAAGCCCTAAGCCCTAAGCCCTAAACCCTAAACCCTAAACCCTAAACCCTAAACCCTAAACCCTAAACCCTACGAAGTGGCCCAGGGCTCTACGTGGCCATCTTCGGTGTCTTCATCCCCTTCATCGGAACTCTGGACCCTCAGACGCTGGGCCGATACTTTGGGGGCTACCGCATGGCCACCTTTCACTTCGCAGGCCGGGTATAGTTGTGGGTTTAGGGTTTAGGGTTTAGGGTTTAGGGTTTAGGGTTTAGGGTTTAGGGTTTAGGGTTTAGGGTTTAGGGTTTAGGGTTTAGGGTTTAGGGTTTAGGGTTTAGGATCTGGGGTTTGGGGCTTGAGGTTTGCGGCCACCCTTCACTTGCAGGCAGGCTTTAGGGTTTAGGGACCCTAAACCCTAAACCCTAAACCCTAAACCCTAAACCCTAAACCCTAAACCCTAAACCCTAAACCCTAAACCCTAAACCCTAAACCTCTCTTTCATATATAATTTAAAACAGGATGTCTGCCGCGCCGAAACGCAGCCTCAAATCAAACAGTCAAGTAGGCTCCCTGCCGCCATGGCCGGAAGCTCACGGAGCATCCCCAGGGTCTTTTTGCTCCTGGGGGAGGAGTTCAAGGAGCCAAGATGGCGACAGTGCCTTATCCTGAAAAAGGCCCGAAGCGGCTGGATCATGATGGCGAGGGCGGACAAAGCAGAGCTGGCTGGATTGATCGGAAAAGTGAACACGTACGAGATAGGGGAGAAGCACTACGTCCTGGTCGAAGGGTCGCAGCAGCAGGTCCGCTCAGAGGAACCCCAGGACGGGTACTTGGCCTTAGAACAGAACCGCGAGATGCTGATAGAGAAGGGGCAAAGTCTTCTGGCAGCAACAGATCAAGATGCTATGTTCGCCACGGCGTCAGAAGATCTGGAAGAGACGCAGCCAAGGCCTCGCTCTACTGTTGGGCCGCTGGCAGAAGCAGAGGAAGACAGCAGCTCGAGTGCCACAGAGGTGGAAGACGCGGAGACCGACGCCTTCTTGTCCAAGCTTCTCGAGAAGTCCAAGCAGAACAAGCCCGTTTCTGGTGGCAGAAGCGACAAGACCGCAAGCAGGACAAAGACTCAGAAAAGATCTGCAAAGTCGAGGTATCCTGTGCTTGGCAACAAGCAGGTGGCCGAGGACAGCGACAGCAGCTCGAGGGACAAAAGGGCCAAGGGCCACTCAGAGCTGAAGGACTTGATGCGGCTTGTTGGCAAAACGGGCGCAAGTGTGGATCCGTTGCAGGCCATCGCGCTTCAGCATATCTTTGGAGGCGAGAAGGACAGTGCAACGAAGCGACGACCCAAGCGTCTTCGAGCAGCAGTTCGGACAGCAGCGGGGCAGGCGAGCCAGAGAAAGGCTTGCGAGGTTCCGCAAGAGCCATGGCCAGGTACAGAAAGAACTCCGCGAGGATGTGGAAGAGGCCAATGAAGCATGTCAAGCGGTACATTGCCGAGGTCGAGGAAGAGTTGGGAGTGGACGAGAGCCCGTACAACCTCTGGGACTACACAAAGCGTATCCCCTTCGGCAGGCAGAAGGGACTGTATCGCATGCACTATCTGGCATCCCACATCTTGAAGAAGCTCCTCAACGACGACCCCGAGGGGGCAGCCCTCATGACCGTGTTAACCCTTCGCTGTCTTCACCAGACGGCCCTGGACGCAGGAAACTGGGAGTTGTCTTGGCTCATCACGACCTTAAAAGACCCCTTGGCTCGCAAGAAGTGGGGGGGCGAAGCCCAAGACTTGGAGACGGCAGCAGACTACTTGCGAGCCGTGCAGGACTTGGAGAAGAGGTCCAAGCAGCTGTCCTGGAAGCCCAAGGACGAGGAGGAGGGAGAGGACGGCGAAGGGGCAGACAAGAACGACAAGGCCTGGAAGCCTCCAAAGGGCCGAGGCCGAGGGAAAGGCGGCAGCGCAGCTGCAGCTGCGAGCTGAGCAAAAGCAGGTCAGCCGAGTTGCCCGTTCAGCCAGCCCCGGGCAGTTGGGAAAGTTTTTTAGGGCAGGCGTGGCAGTCCCGTGGAGCCTTCAGTAGGTTCCTGCGGATGTTGAAGGCTTTCTCTCAAAAGCCTGGGCCCGGACGCGCTAGAGCGTCCAAGAACTCTTTGCAAGGTTTGTTCCCGTCACCGCTGCCTGTCATGGAAGTGACCACAGTTCTCTCTTCTGTGTCGAAGAACCGTAAGCGGAGACGAGGCATGCTGCTAGCCAGGGATTGGGTGGTTGTTGTTTGGGGTTTGTTTAACTACTTTGAGGTTGGTTGCCCTATTAGCCCCCAAGCCTGCCGGAGTGCAGCACGTCGCTGCGCCGAAGCAGCGTGGTTGCCAATCCATGATAAGCATGCTCTTAATTTGTTCAATGATATCTGGCGCTTCTGTCGGGTGAAGGTTGAAGACAGCCCAAATCGAGGCGTTGCTTCAGTGCTTGAACACCTGCATCACGCGCGTGCGTCTGAATACTCGCATAGTTTTTTACCGCTGTCTGAGCTTGCCAAGGTTGCTGGTCCTGTTGCCCTAGGAAGGGTTAGCTTGCCTGAAACAGGGGCTGTCATTGACCCAGCAGATCACCTGCGCGGTGAGAAGCTGCAGCAATTCTTGCACATCGATGAGTGTGTCCCTCTCCCGCAGGAAGAGTTTTGCAAGCGGCCCAAGGCGTGCCACCTAGTGCATGCTGCTGACGAAGTTGCACTCGCAAAGCAGCTACTGGACAGAAGCCTTGCCCTCTTAATCCCTGAAGAGCATGTCCTGAAAGATGCTGTAGGAAGGCTTGTCACTGCAGGATTCTTTTGTGTACCCCACAAGCCTGAAACCGATAGAATCATCACTGACCGTCGCCCCCAAAACAGCACAGAGGATAGGCTTGAGTGGGCTCAGCTGCCCCAGGGCTGTCTGCTGTATCAGCTTGTCCTGAAAGACAACGAGTCGGTTCGGGCCTCTGGAGATGACATATCCAATTATTTCCATCTCCTCAAGCACAGACACGCCTGGGTCCGCAGAAATGCCGTAGGAAATCCGTTGGCAGGGGAGGAGCTTCTGCAGTATGGTGCCCAAAAGGGATGTAGGTATTATTTGGGATTGCAAACCGTACCTATGGGTGACCTTAATGGGGTTTGTGTTGCTCAAGCAACCCACGAAGCCATTTTAGAGGAGGCCAACTGCATGCAGCCGCAGGAGTGCCTCGCCTATGGGAAAGTAGTACCTTCTGGGGACACATGGGAAGGGCTGTATATCGATGATCACATTGTTATTCAAAAGCATAAGCGGGGCCGCAAGATGAGTAACTTGTTGCTCAGAGATACAGAGATTGTGCAGGCCTCTACGCCAGCTTGCAGGTGCCCACCAGCGCCAAAAAGGCTTTCACTTTTGAGCACTCATTTGTGGCTTGGGGGACTTCTGTGTGCTCACAGTCTGGCAGGGTCGGGGCGCCCATAGTAAAACTGAGACACTTGTTGCGAGCCACTGCCGAGTTTTGCTCTTTAAAAAGCTGTTCAAAGAAGCGCTTGTCGGCCTGTACGTCCACCCATTTACTCACCGTCGTGAATTGATGTGTGTGTTTAGCCGGGTATTCAAGGAGATTGAGCGCATGCATGACAAGAAGCTTTCAACAGTCAGTGAGAGTTGCAAGCAAGAGCTTTGTTTCGCGGCCCTTTTGTTGCCATTCGCGCACAGCAACATTCGATGGCCATTAGCGGAGTTCGTCTCAGCTACAGATGCAACCCCTACGGGGGCCGGGCGCGCCGTCGCTCGCATGCCGTCAAAGCTGGTTGAACTAGCGTATAGGTATGGGGTTCATAAGGGTGAGCATGTTCGCTTAGATTGGGGTGCTGGGCGACTGATGCCCAGCAGCGAGATGTTGTCGGCCCCGGCTGAGCTCGAAGAGGCCTTGCAATGCGGTGTCTGGCGAGTGACTGAGAAGTCCCAGTTTGCGAAGCCTGCCCATATTAATATTCAAGAGATGAAAGTTTTAGTAAAGAGCTCAGACGCCGCGCTTGCCAAACTGCCAGCGGGCAGCGGGTTCTCAACCTCTGTGACTCCAGGGTTGTTGTAGGGGCCTTCGGCAAAGGGAGATCCTCGTCGGTACAGTTGAACCAATGGCTAAGGAGAGCTATGTGCCATTGTGTTGCTGGTTCTAAGGCTCTTGTCAATGTTTGGGTCTCCACGAAGTCAAACCCTGCAGACTTCCCTTCGCGTGGTTTGCCCATACCGCTGCGGCAGCACCTGCGTGCTAGTTTTCGTACGCTTTTGACCAGCTCGGAGCAGCAAAGCATGTTGCCCAAACCTCAACGTTCTGCGTAGGAAAAGCAGGGCCCCTGCCAACCCTGTGATTGCGTTGAATGAAAGAAGCGTTGCAGTGGCATGTGTTTCCTTGCCTCATGTCGCACCTGCTTTTCCCACAGTTGGCTTGCGCAGCTTAATTAATGTTGTGAGCTATCCGTAATTGGTAGTTTTTTGTCCTCCACATGGCTCTGCACGGCAGTCAGTATTCAGCTGCATACAAGAAACGCCTCCGGGCAGGACTGGGTGCAGTCCTGAAGTTTGTGGGCCGCTCGCGCAAACGCTTGCACGACTTGGCTGATAGTGTGGATGAGCTTGACCGCTGCCTAGAGCAGTTCGTGAATTGGGTGTACCGGCGCTATGGGAAGAAGCAGTTAAGTGCTGCCAAACATGGCTTGCTTGCAGTCCAGCGCATTTATCCGCAGCATCGGCGTCGGTTGCACCGGGCTTGGCAAAGCGTCCAGGCCTGTGAAGATATCGTGGAAGTCAATGTGCGTGTCCCTTTGCCCTTGTCCATCCTCTGTGGGCTCGTCATAGCGGCCCGGGCTCATGCAGGCTGCGCTTCCAGCGCCCGCGCGTTCATGTGGGATCGCTTCTCAGTCTGTTTGGAGCTTGCCTTTTTCGGGCTTTTGCGGCCGGGTGAGGTTTTGCAGTTGCGGAAATGTGACGTCAGCCTGCCTCACGCGTTGCTCATTTCCGGTGTTGGAGCTGTGGTTCGTGTTCAGGCGCCCAAAAATCGCCGAACTTTCGGCAAGCATCAGTTTGTGTACATTGACCATGTGCCGACTTGCGACGGTCTGCGTTGGCTCACTGCCAGGCTTGCTGACGCAGACACCCTTTGGGGCGGAACTGCACGCGACTTTCGTGCGGTGTTTAAGCAGCTCTGCACGGAGCTGCAGGTCGGGCACGTGCGCCTCGCCCCGGCCTCGTTGCGTGCAGGGGGTGCTTCGCATCTGCACTTAACAGGGCTTGAAGTGAGTCGGTTGAAGTTCAGGGGGCGTTGGGGAAGCGAGCGGTCGTTAGGGCACTACCTGCAAATAGCTCTTGCTCGGCAAGTTCAGGTGTCCATGACCCTACCAGCGCAACGAGCGTTGCGCACTCTCTTGTGTCAAGGGCAGCGTTTTCTGTTCAGTGTCTCTGGCTCAGAGGACCCCCCAGCTTCCCCCGCGCCTGCCTTGCTTCAGCGCTATGGACAACTTGCTGGCCAAGTGGGGTGACCGTGTTGTCTCTGCCGGGACACACCGGGGGAAGCGTTTTCGTGACATTCCTGCCGCCGCCCTCAGGCGAGTTTCGCAGCGCTGCCCGGATCAGGATTTGTGTCGCTTTGCTCGCATGTATGCCGCCGCGGAGGCCTTGCAAACTGTGCAGCCATGTCGGCCGCTCCCAGCACTGCCGGCAGCTCGGCTCCCGCTCGGCCGTTTGAGTCGTGCACTGGCTTGGATGCACCGTGCTTGGGCCCTGCTTAGCTGGCAGTGCCTTTTTGCTGGCCTCACTGCTTTCCCGGCCCTAGATGCATTTCCTGGTAGCTCGGGTACTCACCCGCGTTGCTCAGCAGCTGGTGCGTTACGCCATGTCCCTTGTTATTCATTTGCTGGAAGCATTTCTGGAGGAGCTGGTTGGCCAGTTGCAAGGTCGTGCAGAGCCGATACTTTCCGCCTCGACTTGCCCGACTTGCCATGGTTTAGGGGTTCTAGGACAAGTGGTTCTTTCCTCCACGTCGGTTTGTGTTGGTGCTTTGGTTGCCTGGTTGAGTAACTTGCCTCTCCGCCCTAGGTTGAGGCTCGTCTGATGGGGTTTTCTCTGCCCGCCTCCGACCCAGCAGCCGCCGTGCTGAGGGGTGGGTGCCTGGGTGCCTGCTGCGAATTCTCTTTTGCTCATGCTGCCCGGCCACCGGCCAGCAGGTACCAAAGCCTTGACGCTGCAAACCGCTGCCTGCCCACACTGTGCCAGCGCTACCAATCACTCCTGTTGCAACCGCTGCAAGCTCACAGTAGGCTCTTCTGCCTCGCTGCAGCTCACCGTGCCGGCAGGCTTGCTTCGAAGTGTGCTGTTGCTCAACAGAGCATTTACCGACATGTTGTTCGAGTGCAAAGCAATCTCACACGTGTCGAGTTCAGAGACACTTCCGAGGGCCCAGCAAACTAGTGATGCGCGCGAGGGTTTTGCTGTCTTTCAATTTCTTGTCTGCAAAGGACAAGGTTGAGGTGCGAAGACATAAAACAGGATGTCTGCCGCGCCGAAATGCAGCCTCGAATCAAACAGTCACCGCCGCCTCCCCACCACCAGGCCCTGCTGTGAATTCTCTTTTGCTCATGCTGCCCGGCCACCGGCCAGCAGGTACCAAAGCCTTGACACTGCAAACCGCTGCCTGCCCACACTGTGCCAGCGCTACCAATCACTCCTGTTGCAACCGCTGCAAGCTCACAGTAGGCTCTTCTGCCTCGCTGCAGCTCACCGTGCCGGCAGGCTTGCTTCGCCGTGTGCTGTTGCTCAACAGAGCATTTACCGACATGTTGTTCGAGTGCAAAGCAATCTCACACGTGTCGAGTTCAGAGACACTTCCGAGGGCCCAGCAAAATAGTGATGCGCGCGAGGGTTTTGCTGTCCTTCTTGTCTGCAAAGGACAAGGTTGAGGTGCGAAGACATAAATGTTAAGGAGTTACTGGGCAAGGTGAGTTTTTTACTGGGCAAGGTCATTTTTTTACTGGGCAAGGTCATTTTTTACTGGGCAAAAATGACCTTGCCCAGTAAAAAAATAACCTTGCCCAGTAAAAAACTGACCTTGCCCAGTAAAAATGTTACTGGGCAAGGTCATCTTTTTATTGGGCAAGGTCATCTTTTTACTGGGCAAGGTTTTTTTTTGTACTGGGCAAGGTCGTTTTTTACCGGGCAAGGTCATCTTTTTGCTGGGCAAGGTCATTTTTTTACTGGGCAAGGTCGTTTTTTACTGGGCAAGGTCATTTATTTACTGGGCAAGGTCATTTTTTTGCTGGGCAAGGTCATTTTTTTACTGGGCAAGGGTCATTTTTTTATTGGGCAAGGTCTTCTTTTTACTGGGCAAGGTCATTTTTTTACTGGGCAAGGTCATTTTTTTACTGGGCAAGGTTATTTTTTTATTGGGCAAGGTCATTTTTTTTTAGGGCAAGGTAGTTTTTTACTGGGCAAGGTCATTTTTTTACTGGGCAAGGTCGTTCCATAAGTGAAATATTTTCTTAATGTTGTGGGATTCTTCGGGCGGGTGGGTATTTTTCTGGAGTAATAATTTCTTGACTAGTGAATGCTTGGACTTGAGATGCTGAACCCTAAACCCTAAACCCTAAACCCTAAACCCTAAACCCTAAACCCTAAACCCTAAACCCTAAACCCTAAACCCTAAACCCTAAACCATGGCTCCCGCAGGCAACGAGACGTACCGAGCACTTCTGATCGACAAAGCAGCGATCCCGGCTTCGGACCGGTCGTGCCTGGGCCAGCTCCTGCCCCTTGTCGTCTAGGGTTTAGGGTTTAGGGTTTAGGGTTTAGGTTTTAGGGTTTAGGGTTTATTAGGGTTTAGAGCCTTGGGATCCCTTCCTGGGAAAGAGGCGGTTCAGACTGGTTCAAAGCTCTGAGAGTCAGATACCTATGATTCCAAACAGGGTACCCTTTGGGGTTTAGGGTTTAGGGTTTTTGTTGGGTCCCTGGGATCCCTTGGTGGGGACAAGGAGCCTTTGAAGCTTGTGAAAATAGGGTACCTAAGTTCCGTGCTGCCTTATCAAGAACCGAAAGGAACGGACGTCGCTACCCATAAGGCGAGACAGGGCCCGGGGCTACGAGCGCCTGACGCAGGACGAGGAGCCCTTGGTTTGGGGATCAGGGGGTTTGTAGGGTTCATAGGTTTGAAAGGGCTTGCAGGGTTTATAAGGTTTGTAGTGTGTATAGAGTCTATAAAGTTTGTAGGGTGTATAAGCCTGTTTAGCGTTTTTCGAGAGTTCATAGGGGTTGCCGGGCTTATATTCATTATGGGGTTCGTAGGGTTTTCAGGGATTCCAGGCTTCGTTACAGGGTTTCTGGTGGGTTTCTGCGGGTTTAGGGTTTAGGGTTTAGGGTTTAGGGTTTTTGACATCCAGGACCTCTTCACGGCCCTTCTCTACGCCGATGGGCTCGACGTGGAGGGCGCCCTGAGGCGGAGCTTCCAGGCGCCCTCTCAGGGACTCCAAGTGGGGGATTTAGGGTTGAGCCTCTAGGGTTTAGGGTTTAGGGTTTAGGGTTTAGGGTTTAGGGTCTAGGGTTCAGGGTAACTTCTATTTGTGTCCCTCCATTCAGGGAGTATATCCCTTAAGCTGAAATAGGGATCCCCAACATATCATTTCAGGCTGGTTTAGGGTTTAGGGGTTTAGGATTTAGGGTTTAGAATTTGGGGGGTTTAGGATTTCGGGTTTGCCACTCAGTTTAAAGGGATCCTCGGGGGCTTGCAGGCGCCCTCGGGCCTGACGGACTTCGAGGAGTTCGACCGGAAGTACATGTTCGTGCCCATCACGTGGCTGAACTGCCGCGGGCCGTTGCTCAACACCAAGTGGGACGAGACTTGGGGGGTTGAGCTGGCACACGCTGTTGAAGCTCTTGCTTAGGGGGTCCTAATCGTATAGGACTCAACCCTAAACCCTAAACCCTAAAGCCCTCAAACCCTAAACCCTTAACCCTAACCCTAAACCCCAAACCCTAAGCCCAAAACCCTAAACCCTAAACCCTAAACCCTAAACCCTAAAACCCTAAAACCCTAAACCCCTCTCCAATGGCCCTCACCAGGAGAGCCTCCCTGTCACGGAGCGTTTTGTGGAGCTGGTCTGCGAGACGCTCGCGGCTTCAGAGGAGCCGCAGCTGGCGAAAGGGACTGCCCTGCAGTTCCTTCTTTGGCCCTTGGGATTGTTTCGTATTTTCTCAAACCCTCCCAAACCCCCCGACCCCCTAAGCCCCCTTAAGAAACACCATAAACCCCTAAACCTTGCGAACCTTAAGCTCTAAGCCCTAAGCCCCCGAAACTCCCCCAAACCCCCCGCAACCCTAAACCCTAAACCCTAAACCCCAAACCCCAAACCCCACACCCCCAAACCCCAAACCCTAAACCCTAAACCCTAAACCCTAAACCCTAAACCTTAAACCCTAAACTCCCCCTAAACAAGGAAAGGGGCCCAGCAACCGCAGGTTCGTGGCGCACGTGGTCCCCTGGCTCGGCGGCCGCACGAAGCGCCTGGAGCTCTTCGACCTGACGGCCTCCCAGCTTATGGTTGGTTAGGGTTTAGGGTTTAGGGTTTAGGGTTTAGGGTTTAGGGTTTAGGCTTTAGGGTTTAGGGTTTAGGGTTTGGGGTTTGGGGTTTGGGGTTTGGGGTTTAGGGTCCTATATAATCCCTTAGAGGGTTAATATAGGGGGATATATGATGTAGGGTGCCTCGTTCCCTCATTCCCTACTAAGCAGCAGGCCTCCAAGTGGTCGACCGGCCGATGCGTGGAGACGCCTGGGCTGCTTAAGGTTTGGGGTTTGGGGTTTGGGGTTTGGGGTTTGGGGTTTGGGGTTTGGGGTTTGGGGTTTGGGGTTTGGGGTTTGGGGTTTGGGGTTTGGGGCTTAGGGAAGTTCAGGGTTTAGGGTTTGGGTGTTAAGGTTTGGGGTTTAGGGTTTGGGTTTTGGGTTTGGGTTTAGGGTTTGGGGTTCAAAGTTTAGGGCTTAGGGTTTTGGGTTGCTGGCTTTAGGGTTTTGGGGTTGCTGGGTTTAGTGGGTCTTTTTTAGTTAAAGGGTTCGGAATTGAGGAGCTTAGGATTAAGTTAGGAGTTGCCAGAAGAAGGTGGCACCTTGGTTTGGGTTCCTGATCCCTAAACCCTGAGCGCCTTTCAGCCCCTTAAGAACCAAACCCTCCACAACTTAAGCCGCTTTTCCATAGCAAGGAAGAAAGAAGCCGTATGACTGTCTATATACGCATCCCCACCCTCCTCCTCACCCTCAACCCTAAACCCAGACCCCAAACCCCAAACCTTAAACCCAAAACCCTAAACCCTAACCCCAAGCGGCCAAGGAATGTGGAGCTCCCGTGGCTTCCCCACAACCTCCGGAAGATGGTTCCAAACGACCTGCACAGCGCCCTGTTGTGAGGCTGGTTCTCTCCGGAGAGACACTATGCGCTGTGCAATGGAGCGGTTTCGGGTTTAGGGTTTAGGGTCTGGCAGGTTTGCAGAGAGAGAGAGAGAGAGAGAGAGAGAGAGAGAGAGAAAGAACGAGAGAGAGAGAGAGAGAGAGAGCGGGAGAGAGCTGGAAGGAAGGAAGAGAGAGGGGCTTTGTCCATGGTTCTATGGAGATAGCACACGCCTCGTTTATGAGGATGTTTTGGAAGCTTCTCACAAGGGTCAACCTGGCTCCTTATCTTGTTTGTTTGACTCGCCGATGCACATTCGAGCTTGCAGGAGAGGATAGCAGGTGTCGCCTCGAAATTGTAGGATTGGCACTGTCATGCGATTGAAATCTTGAAATCGTCACTGGGAAAGGGGCAGAACGATATGAGATGGGTTGCAGAGTCCTTTTCAAGGCAGGTCGCCATTTGTTCGTACCCACGCACCAACCGCTGGACATGAATATGGTCAGGATAGCTTCAGCATGGGGTGCCTTACTGTATACAGTGCTGCGTGTAAAGTTCATACATAGGGCCTTATGCTGCGCAGACCCACTAAAAGGGCTCGCAAGGAGTCCTGAAAATTGGCCCAGAACGGAAACTCCAGTTTAGGGTTTAGGGTTGACGGCCTTAAACCACCAGGAGCTCGAGATTCGGTGTGGGGCTACCCTCCGGTCAGCCCGGACGAGGAGGACGTCGGAAGCCGGAAAAGTTCACAGGCTTCGGGCTATCAGGTAGAAGGGCTCGTAAACCCTAAACCCTAAACCCGAAACCCTAAACCCTAAACCCTAAACCCTAGACCCTAAACCCTAAACCCTAAACCCTAAACCCTAAACCCTAAACCCTAAACCCTAAACCCTGAGCTGCTCAAGTCTTGGTTGTATTCCGGTTTCGTGTTCTGGATGACTCTTCGGCCTTCGCGGTCACGGCTAAGGGCGGACTTGCAGGATGCAGTTAGGGTTTAGGGTTTAGGGTTTAGGGTTCAGGGTTTAGGGTTTAGGGTTTAGGGTTCAGGGTTTAGGGTTTCGGGTTTAGGGTTTAGGGTTTAGGGTTTCGGGTTTAGGGTTTAGGGTTTAGGGTTCAGGGCTACCTGCCGAATGATGCCAGCATCCCGTGCCTCGGCTGCCCCGACCCTCACCACCGCGGCCCAGCCCTCTGCCACTGACGTCTGGGACACTTTCGGGGCTGCCATCGATTCGGGCTTGGTTGGGTAAGAGAGGGTTGTCATGCACCCTAAGCTCTAAGCCCTTAAGCCCCAAACCCTAAATCCTCGACCCTCGACGTAGCCCAGCAGGCCGGTCATCTTCCGAGCTCCTGGAGGAAGCCCCGCCGGGTCAGTCGCGACGTCTTCCGACACGAGCAATTTCATCACCTCCAGATTCACATCACTCCGATTCTGAAAACCGCCGATCTCGCCTGGAGAAGGCATTGCCGTGTATGAGATATCCGGCAAAACCGTGGACACTGGAAAGAAGGCAGCCCATCCAGTGCATTGACATGTTGGAAGTGGCGGATGGTGTAAGATCACGTCTGTCAAGACAGACTGGTACGAGCCGGGCTCAGCATGATAGATGCCTTCGAAGAGCCTTCGAAGTGATTGGTGAGCCCTACCTGGAGCTTCATGGTACTTACTAAGCAATTATGACTGTACTTATAACTGTACTCATAGCCATGTTGGGGCACTCAAGGGGGCTTATCAGTGGGGTACAAGTACAGTTATGACTGGTTGATAAGTACCATGAACCTCCAAGTGCTGGCCCCCTCAACTCTTCCAATCCTGCCCTCGTCTGACGCCACAGGACAAGACCATCGTCAGCAGCGCCAACCAGGGCTTCGTAGGCGAGGAGCCCGCGAAGCTGTTCTGTCGGGGCCTGAGAGCCAGTGGTGGGCCGTTTCATGTATTTTTTTGGGATGTTCCCCCCTGAAACTAACAGTCCTTCATAGGGATTCCAGTGCCCCATACTAGAATCCCTATTAAGGACTGTTAGCCTTCATAGGGATTCCAGTGCCCCCTACTAGAATCCCTCTTAAGGACTGTTAGTGTAAGGGGCAACATCCCAATTTTATCCCAGGCAAGCCATAGCTCCGACACACATCCGGATCTCCTGAGTCCCAAGTACAGCTTATGTTACAGGAATTAGGGTTTAGGGTTTAGGGTTTAGGGTTTAGGGTAACAGCCGTAATATACAACAGTTTGGTGAGTTTGAAGCCTGTAGGAATTACGGACAACCATAATACAAAAATTATTACGTTCTATTGGGTCTAAATCTACCTATTTTGGCCCTAGCATCCCAGAGCCCTAACTTGTTGGCTCACTCATGGGCCCGAAGCCCGAAGCCCAGGCACCTGCTGAGACGCTTGAGAGCGCGGAAGAAAAAAAACAGCAATGGTGGGGTTGGAATAATTGCTAAGAGTATTGCCTTAGGGTTCCTTTATAATTCTACTACAATGACCCCCCCCAAAACCCTTTATTCTAACTATGAAGGCCACTGATGTTTTTCTTTACCAACGAGCTGCAAGCTGCCTTAGTTTCCATTTTCGGCTCGGGCATGAGTCTCAAGTGGCTGGGAATCAGGCTTCTGCCGCCTGGATTTAGGGTTTAGGGTTTAGCGTTTAGGGTTTAGGGTGTAGGGTTTAGAGAGCATTGTTCAGGTGTAGGGTTCTGATGTATGGGCCGTTCATTTGTCAGTAGGACATATAAGGGGTATATAAAGGGGTACCTGTTAAGGGCCCATACGAAGGGCCCATGGAACTACCATAGGAGAATCACCCTAAACCCTAAACCCTCAACCCTAAACCTCAAACCATGTAACTACCCTTAGAGCCACTCCATGGTTGAGCTCCGCGAGCTGCCGGAGTCCCAGGAGGAGCTGGAGACTAGGGTTTAGGGTTTAGGGTTTAGGGTTTAGGGCTTAGGGTTTAGGGTTTAGAGTTTAGGGTGACCTGCTACTTCTTGCTGATGATCAGGTCCCTGATATATTTCCCTGTGAAAGGTCTTTGATGGGAACATCAATGCTGCTACCAAGAACCAGCTCGGTTTGGTGTTTGGGGTTTAGGGGCATGTGTAGAAGCCCCGGCGGAGTCGGCCCGATGTCCTAGGGTTTAGGGCTTAGGTTTTAGGGTTTGGGGTTTCGGGTAAAGGGTTTCGGGTTCAGGGCTTAGGGCTTGTGGGAAGTTCTTCGCGTATTTGCTCAAGCGCGTGACCTCGGGGCCTAGACTTGTAAAGCCCGAACCTTGAACTCTCCAGCTCCCAAACCCGGGCTCAGCCCGAAATCATAAGCACTACGTCTTAACATAAGTATAGTTATAACCCTAAACCCTAAACCTAAACAGTCATAATTGGTCAACAAGTGCCATGAATCTCCAAGTAGGGGGGGGGTGGTGCATCGCAGTGCAGAGCGGCACTTGGAACTCCTTGCTCTTTGAGGGCCCCTTTAGCTTTGGGCTTCAAGTTTGAGTATGGTTTAGGGTTTAGGGTTTAGGGTTTAGGGTTTAGGGTTTAGGGTTTAGGGTTGAGCTTCGGGGGGCATCTGCGGGATCTTGGCTTCAAGCGCATGCCATGCTACGCGTCTGGAGCGTTTCCGGGCAAGAGCTGGCCGCAGCGCCCTCGGGCGCCGCACTCGAAAACGTGCTCGCCTTGAAACAGTACCTGCGAAGCCAGCATGGCATCCCTGTGTGCCTTCAACGGGTCCTCCACGATGGGCTCTGCTTGGAGGATGGTGCTTCTCTAGTTGGGTCCATCGACCTGCAGCTGGTGCTGCTATCCACTCTTAACCTGGAGCAGTTGGCTCGAGCCGAACTCGAGTTTTTTGAGTATGCTGCCGACACGGGCCATGTGGAAGTGGTCCGGGCTCTTCTTGTGGCTGGTGTCGACAAGGACTTGCAGAACAGCACCGGCCAGACCGCTCTCATGCATGCGTCAGCCAAGGGCCACATCGAGGTTGTACGTTTGCTGCTTGATGCGGGTGCCGACAAGGGCTTGCAGGACTCGTTCCCCAAGACCGCTCTCATGCATGCATCTTCCGAGGGCCAGGCCGAGATTGTACGTTTGCTGCTTGACGCTGGTGCCGATAAGAACTTGCGGAGCTTGTCCGGTGAGACCGCTCTGATGCATGCATCTGCCAAGGGCCACGTCGAGGTTGCACGTTTGCTGCTGGATGTGGGTGCCGACAAGAACATAGTTGACGCGCTTCATGCGTCCGCTCTCATGTACGCATCTGTCGAGGGGCGCGTCGAGGTTGCACGTTTCCTGCTGGAAGCTGGTGCCGATATGAACTTGCAGAGCAGCTCCGGCGAGACCGCTCTCATGCATGCATCTTTTGAGGGGCATGTCGAGATTGCACGTTTGCTGCTGGAAGCTGGTGCCGACAAGAACTTGCGGAGCAGGTCTCGCGAGACCGCTCTTATGCAGGCATCTGCCAAGGGCTACATCGAGATTGCATCTTTGCTGCTTCGCTCTGGTGCTGACAAGGACTTGCAGAGCAGC